TGTCGCTTGGGTAGCCCCCCATAGGGGGCCGTGCCCTTAAAAAAGACACGGATACCACACCGCCAAATTCCTCATCTTTTTCCTTTGGGTACGAGTTGCCGTCCACTATTAGCCAACTCCCTAAATCTTTCACCTCCACGATCCGACCTTCTTCCTCTGTGAGCAAAAGTCCATATTTCTTCTCGTGAAATTGCACCGCACGGCCGGAGATAGGTAACGATTTAATCTGATCACTGGGTCTCGCACCCACAACAAGAGTTGCTCTTTTCCTCGGGTCCCGAGGCTCCACTGTCTCAATCATTACCCGCGTCCCGTCTGGCTTCCTAATGGACAATGTTTGGCTCCCATCAGGTCGCTCTATCGTTATCGCATGCACGTGGCTCAGCCACGTTCGACCCAAGAGCAGGTCGGAGCTGCAGTTCTTGACTGCAAAGACAGGCAGGGTCACTCGTACCCCTTGGACCTCTATGGATGCCTTGTGACAAACCCCAGTGATCTGTTGCTTTCTCCCATCAGCCGTCTCTATCTCGAATAGGTATGACCTATCGAGGCCCAGTCCAGCCTGTACTGCCAGGTCCTCGTCTATGATGACAGCCTCACTGTCGTTATCGATCACAGCATCGAGTACCGCTCCATCGTTTATAATCGTCTCCACGGCCCCGCTACCAAGTATATAAAACTTGTTTGGAGGCACACCTTCCATTCCATCGAGAAGGACTGTCGCCATGCGATTCGCTTTGGTAGTCACCCCCGTTACTGCTACTGTAGAAGCTTCCTCCTTAGGGCCCCCCTGACCCTCCTCCGATAGAGGTCTGCGAGTCTTCCGCGTGATCATCTGTAACTCATCACAAGCCGGCTTCGATGCCGCCAGGTACTCCAGAATAGAGCACTGCATGGGTTGCCGAAGGGCCCGCCTCAGTGGCTCGACCGTGTCAATCTCATCCAGCGAACTCTTCATTAAGAACTTCTTCACTTCCCGTTTTCGCGGCGAAAGGATAACCTCTGCTCCATCGACCCGCCGTCCGTCCTTCTCCGCCATCACGCAATCCGTGTCATCCTTCTTCGATGTAGACCCTCTCGCCGACTTGGTGGCTGTCACCCTTATGGGTGTGGTCGCCATATCCCCCTCTAAGGTTATCTTGATGCTCTGGCTCCTGACCGGCTCCTTTTCTTTACTCGACTTTACTCTCCTTGCTTCGACATTCTCCTTCATCGAAGGGAACATCGATACATCTCCCAGACCATCTGCCCACTTGACGTATTTGCGGTCGTCAAGCACGACAAGTCCCTCATCTATTGCCCGTTTGAGGTCCGGGCAATCCCTCTTGATATGATCTTCTCCTCTACAGTAGACGCATGAGTTCCTGGGAGTAGATGGCCTGTCGTCTGCACTTCTAGAGATCGAACTCCTGACTGCCTTGGGGTTAGGCGACTTGGGATATGGTTCTAATGAGATGCCATATCCCCCTCTCTCATTCCGACCGCGCGAATCATTGCGGCAGTCTCCTCCAGACCCTCCTTGCTCATACCGCCCTCGTGAATCATTCCGGCGGTCCCCCGAGTCATATCGCCCTCGTGACTCATTGCGTCGGTCCCCTTGGTTGTACCACCCCCGCGACTCGTAGCGCTGCTCTCTCGCATCTCCCCCGCGCTCAAATCGTCCGCGTGACCCATCTCGTCGTTCCCAATCCCGATCTCCTCTTTTATACCTACCACCTCTGTAGCCATCTCGACCCGACCTCTCGTATCTGTCGTCTCTATATCCGTCTCGGTCCGATCTCTCGTATCTGTCGTCCCTATATCCATCTCGGTCAGATCTCTCGTATCTGTCGTCCCTATATCCATCTCGTCGACCCTGATCTGTCTCCCATCGGCCGCGGGAGTCGCCTCTACCCCGATCGGCCTCATAGCGAGTGCTTCGCGGGTAATCATCCAGCCTCCTTGCTCGCGCAAACGGCTCGCGATCTCTGCGGTCTCGGTCTATCTCATCATCCCTACGTCGTCATGGCTCATCGTCTCTCTCTCTTCC